TTAACGGATTATATCAGCGGATTTGACCAGCGAATTATATCAACGGTTGGTAAAAAGATATTTCAAAAAATTAACTGTTTAGATTAACATGTAAAATGACTTAAAGTAGTTACCTTGATATACTTTATAGTACTTATTTAAAAAAAAAAAAAAAAAAAAAAAAAAACATTGGGCATTATCTCAATCGCGCAATGCGCGTAAAAAACTAGTATATATATATATATATATATATATATATATATATATATATATATACTAATAAGAGCCCAAGAGAGTTAGGGCTATAATGGGTAGAAAAAATGGCTGTCAATTTTTTTAATCAAATGAATGGCTCAGATTGATCAGATTTTAATTTTTTCTTGAGATTTCCTAATTTATCCTTATCCGTTAACTTTTCCGTTAAATATTATCTTTTCCGTTAGCTTCTGTTAATTCCCAGTTAACTTACTCATTGATTTTAATAAGAAAGGTCTCATGTTCGAACCCCATCCCAATCAAATTAAAGTGGCATAATTAGTACTCTATTTTACTCTTATTAAATTATAATTAATTAATAATTTAGTAGCTACAAAAAAAAAAAAAAATACATATGCATTTCTTTAATTTAGAATTATGTGTGTACAATGTCTTTATTCAAAAAAAAATTATTCACTATCAATAAATTAAATAAGAGAAATAATTTCTTTAGTTATATTGTCTTTATTTTTCTCAAATGTAAAAATTCTTTACATTCAAATTAATCAATTAATTATATTCACTACATTGTCTATTATCTTTTTTTTGTGCACTATTTTTTAATTAAATATCAAAGTTATAATACAAAATAAAGCTATATATTTATTTATTAAGTATTTTATTAATAGCATGAAAAAATTAAAAATTAAAAAAAAACATATCTACTATATATATATATATATATATATATATATATATATATATATATATCTACTATACTACTAAGAGTCCAAGAGAGTTAGGCCTATAATGGGTAGAAAAAATGGCGGTCATAGATTTTAATCAAATGAATGGCTCAGATTAATTAAAAGATTGATCAGATTTAAATTTTACACTTAAATTTCTTAAAATACCCACACACCGTTACTAATTCCGTTAAAATTTTAAAAATTGCCGTCAGTTCACCGTTAACTTACTCATTGATTTCAATAAAAAAATGTCTTGGGTTCGAACCTCATCCCAATCAAAGTTGGCATAATTAGTTCTCTATTTTACTCTTATTAAATTATATAAATAATAATTTAGTAGTTACAACAAAAAATAATACATATGCATTTCTTTAATTTAGAATTATGTGTCCACAATGCCTTTATTCAAAAAAAAAATATATATTCATTATCAATCAATTAAATAAGAGAAATAATTTTATTAGTTATATTGTCTTTATTTTTCTTCAATATAAAAATTCTTTATATTCAAATTTATTAATTGATTATATTCGCCTACATTATCCTTACAATGTCTTTATTCAGTGAAAAAAAAATTATTAATTATCAATAAATTAATTAAAAGAAATATTTTCATTAGTTATATTGTCTTTAATTAAAAATTTTTACATTCAAATTCATCAATTGATTATATTCACTACATTATCTATTATCTTTTTTGTGCACTATTTTTCTAATTAAATATCAAAATTATAATACAAAATAATGCTATATATTTATTTACCAAGTATTTTATTAATACCATGAAAAAATTAAAAAAATATAATTAATAAAGCCAACCATATTAACTACTTGAGAGATTTTGTGACAACGAGAGTATTCAAATCACACAACAAATTGAAGTGAGAACTACCTTGCAATGTCCTTGTTTGACAATCAGCAGTTAGCGGTTAGCGTTAGCGGATTATACTAGCGGATTTGACCATCGAATTTATTTAATTATTAACATTGGGTAGAAAAAATGACCGCCAAATTATTAAATCAAATGAATGGTTCATATTGTTCAGGTTTTAATTTTTTCTTTTAAGATTTTCTAATTTATCCTTAATTATATGATTATCCATTTAACTTTTCCGTTAATTCACCGTTAGTCTAATTCTAATATTAAAGTCTAATATAGAATTATAACTACACCATTAATCTAATTCTAATATTAAAGTCTTAATAGAACTTAACCACAAATCCTAATGCCGGAATCTCCCCAAACAATATTAGTATATATTTAATATTCTATGTCCTAATTTTTATTTGTTCTCCCTTATGTCCCGTATTTGGTTTCAACCATACCTATACAATTATTTTATTGACAATTATAATCAATCTTGACTATATTATCTTGCATTTGTAAACTTAGAATTACCTATTTAACCCGCACGAGCTTAGCTCAATGGTTTAGTGGGTAGTATTTGGGAGAAGAAACGAAGGTTTGAACCTCGGCGGCGGCAGTGCGGGAATTATGTCCAAAGTGGGCAGATTCCTTGTGCGTATCAGCATTTGGCCCTGTCTGCTGAACCATTGAGTCACCGTGATTTACAACTTCCCACAATGCTCTGTCGGGTCGGAGTGTGGGGGGCCCTTGGGGTTGGGGACTCAACCTTTGGGAGAAGAATTACCTATTTAAATACGCAAATTCAACCTTCAATTATCTATGCATGAACAATTTCAATATAATCCTGTCTTAATATACTTTAAAGTACTTATTTGAAAAAAAGCATTGAGCATTATCCCAATCGCGCAATGCGCGTACAAAACTAGTATACTAATAAGAGCCCAAGAGAGTTAGGGCTATAATGGGTTGAAAAAATGGCGGTCAATTTTTTTAATCAAATGAATGGCTCAGATTGATCAGATTTTAATTTTTCCTTGAGATTTCTTAATTTATCCTTAATGAATATGATTATCCGTTAACTTTTCCGTTAAATATTATCTTTTCCGTTAGTTTCTGTTAATTCACCGTTAACTTACTCATTGATTTTAATAAGAAAGGTCTCAGGTTCGAACCCCATCTCATATTAACTACTTGAGGGATTTGTTGACAAAGAGAGTATTCAAATCACACAACAAATTGAAATGAGAACTATCTCGCAATATCCTTGTTTGACAACCAGTAGTTAGCGGTTAGCGTTAGCGGATTTGACCTGTGAATTATATCAACGGTTGGTAAAAAGATATTTGAAAAAATTAGCTATTTAGATTAACATGTAAAATGACCTGATGATACAACAACAACAACAACTATAATCTTATCTTATCTTACTCTATATAATAGCAAAATGTTTTTGCCACATCATTTTCCCGCCTAAATAATAAGGCATCCTTTGGACTGTGATTAATTTTCATATTTATGAACCCATTGGATGACTACTATTGCAACTTTCCATGTGTATTAATTGTTTTAACATTTGTTCAAATTTATTATTAGAACCTTTGGAATCCGCACAGCCGCAGGGATGGCTTATCATACGTACAATGATCATTTTCAGATCTGTGAATCCGTTGGATGACTACTATTGTAACTTTCAATGTGTATTAATTGTTTTAACATTTGTTCGAATTTATTATTATAACCTTTGGAATCCGCACAGCCACATGAATTGTTTATCATATGTACAGTGATCATTTTGAAAAAAAAAATTAATATAATAACATTGATTCAAGATATATAGATACCAGAATAACATATACACGTATTTAATGAATCAACATATATAAAATAAAAATAAAAAATGTAATAATATAGTCAGTTTTTTCCAATACTAATTACAGAATATGTATAGTCCCACTTTTGAAATGCCCCTTGAAAATTGTTCAATATTTTAATCAAATTAATAACAAAGCATTAATGGAGAGGCATAATTGCTACTAAAAAAAATGGTATAAATATGCACTAATCCGAGAGTGTTCTTCACCATTGAAACTTTCTGCAAAAAAAAAAAAAAAAAAAAAAAAAAAAAAAAAAAAAAACTCTACAAAAATGCTTTTCCAATACTGTCTTGCATTTGATAAAAAGAGTATTCAAATCACACAACAAATTGAAGTGAGAAACTAGCTCGCAATGTCATTGTTTGACAATCAACAGTTAGCTTTTCAATATTAGTATATATTTAATATTTTATGCCCTAATTTTTATTTGCTCTCCCTTATGTCCCGTATTTGGTTTCAATCATATCTATACAATTATTTTATTGAAAATTATAATCAATCTTGACTATATTATCTTGCATTTGTAAACTTAGAATTACCTATTTAAATACGCAAATTCAACATTCAATTAAATTTCAATATAATCTTGTGATATATATACTTTAAAGTACTTATTTAAAAAACACATTGGGCATTATCTCAATTGCGCAATGCGCGTAAAAAACTAGTGTTAACATAAGTACCGTAAATATTATGAAAATTTGATTTGTAATAACTGAACTAGAGAGTACCTATCTATCTAAAGAGTTTAACAATTTTGAAGGCATGCATCTATAAAATTTTCTTTTGATGTATAATAATAAATAGTTGTTATATTTATTTTATATATTTAAAAGCACAATTTTATATAATAATTCAAATATTCAATATATATATATATATATATATATATATATATATATATATATATATATATATAGAGGTTGAGGTGCGGTGAAAGGAGAGCTATTGATTTTGTTTAAATCAACATCCAGGATTACTAAAATTAAAAAATATATATATATATATATATGGTGGCAATTTGATAATTTTTGCATCTAGGTCAAATTTTAAGTGCGTGATTTTTGTGGTTAAGGTGCGTGAATATTGTGCTTAAGGTGTGTGAATTTTGTGCTTAAGGTGCGTAGATTGTGTACTTAATGAGTAGTTATTAGAACTTAAGGTGCGTGAATTTTATGCTTAAAGTGCATTAGTTGTGTGAAATTTAAGATGAACCATTTTAAAACTTTAGGTGCATGATTTGTGTTCTTAAAATACTTTGTTGTGTGCTTAAGGTGCCTGCACAAAAACCTTTACCCGCACCTGAACACACACAAAATTGGTTTGGAGCCAATAAAGAAAAAGTGAAGTAGACAATTTCATTCATATCCAATCACAGCACTGCAAAATGGATTTCCCAAAAGTTGAGATTTTTCCACAAATTTCATCACTAAACCGCTCGAGCAAAAGACAATATTTCTCATTACAAAGGAGAATATCTCTCGTCAAAGAGAGACTTTCAAGGGAGGGACATATCCGCACTTATTTCAAAATTGATGAAGTACACTACTCAAAGACCTAAGATGCTGTGTGCAAACCGAATTTAAGAGAGGCAAGAGTATGCCAAAGCCTTCTCCTCCGACAGTTCTGCAGCTGTTGCGTCCATCTTCTTTCTTGAAAACTCATCAATGGGAAGACCTTAATAAATTTGAAAAGCAAAATCCTATTAAAGACCATATTCCAAGAAAAAACACAGGAACAAGTGCCAAATAGGTCACTAAACTTGTCGCTTTTGTGCAATTGGATAATTGAACTTGTGCAATTTAACCATCAAACAAGCAAAATATGCGCAATTGGAGTATTTTTATGATTCATTTTAATGCAATTTAAGTTGAAAACATTTCAATCTTTCATATCATATTTATGTAACATATACCTATGAGGCTATAGAACAGCATCAATAATATTGCCTTAGTTAAATTATCTACTCACCTTGGACAATACACCATTCTCCATTTTTGCAAGTGACTGGGAAGGAATAGATGAGACCAGCTGGAACATTGTATGAGCCATCAGAGTAGACACCCATGGACACCCAAGTTCCCTGGATAAGAGCAGATGCAGAGCACTTGTTATAGCATCAGCCAAGCAATATGATTTCACATTAATTGTATGGAGACCAGCAGGAATATTATACCTCTGGAGTTCCAACCACCCAATCACGTATGTGGTCACAAGCAGAGCTAGCAGCAGAGAGAGCACTGGAAAATTTTCTAGCCTTGATAATTGCGGCACCACGCTGCTGGACAGTGGTTATGAACTCACCATTCAACCTGAATTATATCACAAATTAATACAACCATAATAGAAGCAGAAATTTCAAAAATAAATGCAGTCAATATGAAATTTAAAGATCTGGCAAATTGTAACATAACTACAGATTTTATTCTTTACCATTCGTCATTTCCAACAAGCTGACGGACTGGCTTTTCTCCGGCTGGTGTTTTGACAGTGGCATGATTAACATCAGGATACTGCGTAGATGAGTGGTTTCCCCAAATGACTACATTTTTAACATCACTGACTTGAACACCCAATCTCTCTGAGATTTGGCCAAGGGCCCTGTTATGGTCCAATCTTGTCAAACAAGTAATGTTTTTCTCAGGAATAGATGGTGCAAACTCCTTCAAAATCAATGCATTGGTGTTTGCAGGGTTAGCAACAACCAATACCTGAAAGGGAAACACATAGAAACAAACCATAATTTAGACTTTTTTCCCAATCACATGACAAGGATTAGACTTAACAAACACAATAGTAACAGAAACAATAAAGCCAAACAATAGTCATACCAAAGAATTAGAGATTAACTTGGATAAACACAAAAAGGTCAAAAACAATTGTTTATAAAGTAATCTTACCCATTCATTTTGCAACCTGAAGTATTGATTCAGACAACTGATGCATATATTAACAATGCTAAGCAATATTGCCATGCAGATAACAATATATATGCAGATATCACATGCAATTCTAAACTATTCATTGTCCTATAGTTAAAAATTGTCTTTAGGAAGATGCAGAATTTTGTATTTTGAGCCACCAATCACTCTTCAGTCCAGAAACTTAATAGTAGATATCCTGTCTGAAATAGAACTGTAATCATATCCTAATATAACAATGAACTTCTGCTCAACCAAAGAAAAGCAAAAACAAATATTTATACTTGTTCACAAATAAATGATCCTAGGGTTTGAGAATTCTATCTCACCTTGCAGTTAGCTGCAGCATGCTTCTCAAGAGCAGCAGCCTGGGACTTGTAAATAGAGACATTCTTTGACATCACATCTTTCCTCTCCATGCCTTCTTTCCTTGGGAAACCACCAACCATGACTGCAACATTGACACCAGTGCATGCCTCAACAGCATCAGTTGTAGCAACAACACCTGGCATGGATAGCCCAGAAGATGCATTCAGTAAGAACAAAGAAAATATTCTTCAAACCACAGTCAAATAACTTTAAAAAGACAATTAGCTATAATTTTCCGCAAAAATCCAGATAGATTTGTTAATGATGCATTGGTTAACAAAGGAAGCAGAGGCACGGACCTTTAAGAAGAGGGAAGGCAGCATCAACTAACTCCATTTTCACTCCATTCAATGCCTCTGCAGCAGGTGGGATATCGAGCATGTGGAGAATTACGGGCTGATCAGGACCCAACATCACACCCCTAGCAACCATGGGGACCAGAGCATAACCAATTTGTCCTGAAAAACCAGCCAACCTCAAATATTATATGGCAATCATGGAAGAGAAGTTGGTCTACTGATAAAATTATCATATTTCAAGAGAAAGCCAAATAGTAAAATAAAACATAAAAAAACAAAAATCCAACAAAGCATATAGAAAATACTATACATAGCTTATGCAACAATATTACTTCAAATTTTCAAAGCATAAAAACCTCCATTTTAACATGGCTTCAAACAAAGCTAACGAATGAAACAAATCCACAAGCACAGCTACTATTTACAAGCAGATCAAGAAAAGAACAAAACAGTCCATCAACACTCTCCATGACACAGTTCAAATCAGAATCAGGCACAGAAAGCCATGTTTGCAGTCTATTAACACATTCACCAGCAAAGTTCAAATCAGAAGTCAGACATACAATGCCATTTTTGCATCCTATCAATGACTCCGCAGCAAAGTTCAAATCAGAAATCAGGTGTACAAATCCATGTTTGCCTAGTGAAACATCATACAAAAATCCTAGACTCACGGAAGTTCAATAACACAATCGAGATTGGCACTAATAGTCTGGCCGATCAATAATCAATACATTTTACCATCATCAATCAGAAAAATTCAGATCTTATCCTGTAAGCACAGGACGCAAAGATAAACATATAGACTTCAGACTGAAAACTACAAACGTTTAATATGCATCACTAAGAAATGACCAATATCAGATCATGTATATATAAAACTTTTATATAAATGAAACAGTAAAATTAATCAGATCTGAATGGAAGATGAATATATTACCTGCAGCACCAGTGACAAGGACGCGAACTGGTTCCTTCGCCATTTTTGTATGAGATCTGATCTAACTTCTGAGAATTGAGAAAGAGACTGAAGTTGTTCTGAGGAGTGAAGATATCGGGAGACTATTTAAGTATTTATTGGTGAGATTGAGAGACGAGAATAGTAAACGATGCCGTTTTAGAAGCTAGTATTGAGGAATTAAGGAATATGCCATCGTGGGGCTTTACGCAAAATTTGTTTACTTTTAGAGGGTGTTTGGTTGAGCGAATTTAAATTTCATTTTCATTCAATTCTTACATAATAATTTTAAAGGTCATTAAATTTTTTTAATTTTTAATTTTTTTGAGGAATTAAATTTTTTTAATTTAATTGAAAAGAATTGTAATTTTACAAAAGAGTTAATCAACGATTTGGTCCCTCAGTTATTGTCAAACTGTGAATGTTGTCCTTTAATTCCTTAATCATCGATTTAGTCCCCGAAAAAAACTGTTTTTAGTCATTTTAGTCCCTCCGTCTGTTTTCCGGCTACATTCCGGTTAGACCTCCGATTTACCAGGGTCATTTTTGTCATTTCATTTGTTCATTTGCTTCGTTCAAAAAGGGCTTATTACACTATTCAGAAGGCATCCATTTTCGAAACGAATACGCCTCTTTTTTGCCACCCCCATTGCCTGACTTCTCACCGACAAAACCACCATCCTATCAGCCTGTAACCTCTCCCTACAGACAAGTTTTCGACCAAGAAACCCCGAAGATGGCAGGCGGCATACATCAAATGTCCTCCTTCTGTTTCGAACATCCTTGCATTTAATAAAAGAGAAGTAGCAGCAATTGATTCCACCATCTTCACAGAATGCTCACAAATCCCAAATCTTTGAGCTTTATAAACCTAATTTATGCTAGAAAACACTCCTTTATTTGAATCCCTTGCTTCAACTAAAATACAACCAGCAAAAACCAACCAACTTGGCTGATTTCTCTATTGCTCAACAGATTATTCAGAATTTAGGCCAATTCTAGGATTAAACCCTCACAGGCACAAACAAGGTATTCCTCAAAGCTCTCCCCACAACAAAGATTCAAACTTTATGCAAAACCCATCAGAAGGCATCCATTATCACACAATCCAAACCCAATTCACAACGCCCAATATTCAACCACAAGCAGAAATTTGAGAAATCAGCAAATAAAGAAAAGAGATTACTGGCGTATAAGCGTGTTACTCCGTATTATTTACAGATAGTTCAACAGGGAGATAAAAACTAAACAGTAAAGAAAATAAACCCAACAAATTTTAGAAAATTTCCAACCAATTGAAGGAATTAGAATCTGATATTTGTGGGCTTATAAATAAGAATCGTATTCTTTGTGCGATGAATCAGTATGCTGAAAAGCTATTGTGATGATGTGTTATTGCATGATGAAGAAGGTGATTCTGATGAAGGAGGTGATTCTGATGAAAGAATAAGCCCCTTTTGAACGAAGCAAATGAACAAATGAAATGACAAAAATGACCCTGGTAAATCGGAGGCCTAACCGGAGTGTAGCCGGAAAACGGACGGAGGGACTAAAATGACTAAAAACAGTTTTTTTCAGGGACTAAATCGATGATTAAGGAATTAAAGGACAACATTCACAGTTTGACAATAACTGAGGGACCAAATCGTTGATTAACTCTTTTACAAAATTATAATTCCTTCATTTTTATGGAATTAAAATTTCATGTCTTCTTCCCAGATTTGAATTTTATAGATTTTAAAAAGAAAAAGATAATTATGAGACAAAATTATCTTTCTAGTTTTTAAACTTAAAATTGATTCCCACAACAATAATATGTATTTTGGACTTTTTTTTTTTGAAAGTCAACCAAATAATGATTGTATTAATGAATCAAAGCTGCAATAGAACCAGGATTGATTGAATCTCAATACATAAACTGATCCTAATCAAATGCTAAAGAAGCTAGGATACTAAACATTGGAATTAAAATACTCAATAATTTTTTCGCTGTAAACAAACATTGGAATTTTTTCACTTTATTCCTAGTTGTAGGAAAATTTTCACTTTTGATCACAAATTCACAATTCAGTCAAATTATAGAGAAAAAATAAAAGTTCTATTACATATATTCTCAATGCTTACTCTCTCAAATTTATTTTTTGATGTGATGAATATTGATAAAATATTTTCTTCATGTGAGCCCCTGTAAAAGTGTCATGAAAATTCTAAGTGTGAGAGTAACAGTTAGAAGTACAGAATGAGAATACATATATAATAGGCACAAGTGTTAAATAGACCCATATACTACCACGAAGTGCTTAATTCCCATCATGAATTAGATTAAGTGTCAAATAAGTCCATCTACCAGGTAAATTTGTTCGATTGACTTTTTTTGCAGGTTGCCTATTCAATTATTTTTAAAATATAATAATAATAATAATAATAATAATAATAATAATAAATAAATAAATAAATAAATAAATAAATAAATCAGCCACCGGTTGTTCGCGCCGGACAGCCGGTGGCTGCCAGACAGCGCCGGACAGCCAGACAGCCACTGCTGTCAAAAATGAGGTCCAGATCTGGACCTCAAATGGCCTGGAACGACCATGGCTGTCTGGGGACGGCCATGGCCGTCCACATCCGTTTGGAACGAGGCCGGCCGCCCTCGTTCCAGACCGTTTGAGGTCCAGATCTGAACCTCATCTTTGACAGTCGTGGCTGTCCGGCTATCTGCTGTCTGGCAGCCACCGGCTGTCCGACGCGGGCAGTCGGTGGCTGAAATTCTGTTTATTTATTATTATTATATTATATATTTTTTAATAATTAAATAGGCAATCTGTTAGCACCCTGCAAAAAAAGTTAATTGAACAAATTTAGCTGGTAAATAGACCTATTTGGCACTTAATTTAGTTCGTGAGGGAAATTGAGCATTTCAAAGTAGTAGATGAGCCTATTTGACACTTGTGCCTATATAATACTTCCTTAAAAATAATTTATAAAATTATTCATTAAATATTTTTTTTTGAGGACCATTATTCATTGAATTTTTTAATTTTTTCCGAGAAATCATTGAATATTTAATCTCAAATAATAATATTACGGAGTAATAATTTACCGTTGGTCGTTATCCTAACTGGAATTTGGAAAGCGCAACTGCACGAGCTAGAGATGGAGTAACGTCATTATCCTCTTCACAAGTTCAAAAAAGACACACGGTTGTCGTCTCCGTCTCCGGTGAGGCAGCAGAGAACGACGAAAACTATGGCTTCTTCGTTGATCACCTCCTCCGTAATCCGCCGCATCTCCATTCAACGCCACCAACACGACGCGCACCTTCCGCCACAGCAGACGCCGCCAATTGAACTAGAGATCAGTATCAAATGTTCGCCGGAGGTAGAAGAAAGAAGCTGACTTACCTTTGTTGCCGTGCAGAAACTGCGAAATCTGAGAACCCGATAATACCCGAACCGATCAGAACCGAAAACCGAACAAAACTTCGGTACTTCGGGTGATGATTCATCAACCGAAAACCGAACTATCTCTTATATAAATAAAATAAACCCTAACGCTCTTCAGAACGCGGGCTACTCGTCGGCTACTCACTCTCTCCCTCTCTACACTTGACCTCTAAAACTCTCTCGTTAACTACCACATCTCCGGCGTCTTCACTTCTCTCTCTGAACATCAAGCCTTTGGTGCGAGGTAAAAACCCCTCGTTCATAACCTTGGCCTTTGTCAAATATGTACTTGGTTCTCTGTGCTGCGCCTCTTTTGCGAATACTGTAATTTTTAATTTTATTTTTGAGTTCGTTTACGGTTTAGGGTTAGAAACTGCCAGACTGTGGTTTCCTTGGGGTTGGAAACTTCAGTTTATCATTTGTGTAGGGTCTTCACATTATTCTTGAAAATTATTTGGTCCTAAGATTATCATTCTCTCTATATGTGTAAATTTAGTGGCTAGAAAAGTTCCCCATCATTTTTTACTGTGAAATTTGGCATTTGATTATTGAGGTTATCTGTGTTCTGAATACATAGCCTGCATATTGATATTCACTGCAAAGCAGAATTGGGGATGTCTTTCACAAATATTCTTTCAGCAAAGGAATTTCCTGTTCTGTATATACAGATAGTCAGAATAGTCACACAAAAGTTTGATATGTATACTTGAATTGGGAAAGATGCATGTCCAGGTGATAAATGATCTTCTTGTCTTGACTTAACAACAACATTTATATTTTGGGTTAGATGTAATGCATGTGCTAAGCATTGATTTCTTTTATGATATAAAGATTGCCCTGCGCATTATTGAAGAACTTCAATTTTGTTGATAATCAATATGCAAAAGAACTTCCATCCGTACAATTGAAAAGTTCGGCTATTTATTTGTTCTGCGAAGTATCATTTTATTTGTTTTCTAACTTTTTCTCCAGTAGTTCTCTTTTTCCTTCATTTTATTAGTGGACAGTGTTGTTGGATGATCTAAGATTTGTTAAAATGTCTTCCAAATGTTAGATAGCAAGAAATTTACCTTCAATCTAAAAACTCAAAATCCTGAAGGTAGTTGTATTCAAATTTACTGCAGATGGCTGAGCATGTGGAGATGGATGACTTACGTGAACTAACTCTACCACAAGCTAGAGTATCTGAGACCAACGAGGAAAACCAACATGTAATGCAATCTGGGAACCCTAGCAATAATACCAGTAACAAGAAACTAAAACAATGCCTTGACAAAATTGAAGATAAAGAGGGCAGTCAGGCAGCTCGGTATGAATGCTGTGGCAGAGAGATGGCTGTAGGTTCTAAGTGTCTTGTGTGTGAGAGTGCTGATGAGGATGAATATGGAGATGAAGATGATGATTTGGCGAGTGATGATCACTATTCCTCAACTGGCAAGTATGATAATGATACAGTTTGGAAAGCTATTGCCGAGATGATTATTATTGATGGACTACCTTTTAGTTTTGTTGACGGAATAGGATTCAAAGAGTTTTGTGCTGCTGCCTTTCCCCCTGAATTTGAGCATCCATCTCGTAGTACCATTGCTAAATATGCAATGGAGATATATATAGATCTGAGAGCTAAGGTGAATAATCTTTTCAAAAATGAAAAGCCAAGAGTGTCTCTCACCATAGAAAAATGGACATCCCTTGAAAGTATTTCTTACATGTGTCTTGCTGCTCACTGGATAGATGGCAATTGGAAGCTTCAGAAAAGAATTCTGAACTTTCTTCCAATTGAGAGTAATACAGATATAGCTTTGGGAGATGTCATAGGGAAGCGCTTACTTGGTTGGGGTATTGACAAGGTGTTTAGTGTTACTGTGGATAATGCAATTGCTAATGATAATGCCACTAAGGGCTTGAGGGCTGCACTTGAAAAATCGGGAATTAACATCATGAATAGGGAACATCTTTACATGAGGTGTGTTGGTCACGATGTCAATATGATAGTTTCCGAGGGTTTGGAGGAGATATCTTCTTCAGTTGCTGCTGTCAGGGCTGCAGTAAGGTATGTGCTAGTGTGTCCAGTGAGATTGAGAAAATTTAAACAGTGTGCTGAGATTGATAATATCGAGTCCAAGAAGGCACTTTGTTTGGATTTTCCGGATAGATGGAATACTACATTCATGATGCTGGATGCTGCTGAGAAATATGAGAGGGCTTATATAAGCTATGAGAGGCAAGATTCAAATTTTACAGAAGACTTGTTGTATGACGAAGACAGGGTTCCAAATGCTAGTGATTGGGAAACTGTTAGGAAAACAGTGGAAATTCTAAAGCCCTTTTATGAGATGGTTGTTGAAACTTATGGGAATTCACATGTCACTTCTAACAAGTTCTTTCTTCAGATCAGTACTGTTGGCTCTGTCTTTCAAGAGTTGAAAAATTCTGAAGATATTCAGTTGAGTTCACTGGCATTAAAGATGAAATCAAAGTGGGACAAGTATTGGGGAGATTCAAAAGAGATTAACAATACCATCTTCATTTCAGCTGTCTTAGATCCTACACAGAAGTTGACGTTTGTGGAGTTTGTGTTTATACGATTTTATGGTGAAGCCCGTGGAAGAGAGTTAGCAGAAATGGTTAAGGAAGCTACATATGAACTCTTCAGTGAGTATAAGAGACTGAATTCCCTTCAAGTCTCTAAGAAAAAGATTGGAAAGTCGGTAAGTTTTGCAGATGAGCATGGAAGAAAACAAGATGATAAAGTAAAGCTTGCTTTCAAAAAATTCATCAGTGATAATGCTGCTCTAAAGATTGAGCTAGACAAGTATTTAGCTGAAGATATCATGCAGGATGACAAATTTGACATTCTCCATTGGTGGAAGGATAACCAGTCAAGGTTTCCTGTCCTATCTGAAATGGCACGTGATGTATTGGCCGTGCCCATATCCACATTCACATCAGAGTCTGCATTCACCATGGGTGATCGCGTTCTTAATGAATTTCGTAGCAGTTTGCCATCAGGAATTCTCCAAGCTGTAATTTGTGCACAAAGCTGGTTGACAATAACAGATCGCTCTTCTTGCACAAGGTCTCTCAGTATTGAGGAATTCCTTAGCAACACCAGTATCGACGATGACTTTGACAACACCAGTATTGAGGATGGCTTTGAAGACGACCCCGATGAAATGGAAGATGGTTGAGCTCTTGACTTAAACTATGACTTCATTTTTTCCCCTTTCTGCATTACTCTCAATTACTAACAACTTGGCTTTTAACTTGTCACATTTTCCAGAGTTGCCAGAGCCGATTAGGCGAAAGACTGATGTTTTCCAGCAATACTGACTTCTCCTTGCATGTTGCTGTTTTGGACTCCTGTTAAAATGTGTAGTGCTCTGAAGAATGGATGAAACTATTTTGTTAGAACTCTGAAATGCTGTAATGCTGGTTTGCTGCTCTAGTAATGTTTGCTAGTTTTTGGGTTGCACTTACTGTTTTTGAAACCAAGACACAGCAAAACTGGAAATCCAACATTGTTTCAGCATTTCATGTTAAGCCTTTTTTGGTATTATTATGTCAATCCTACCTTCTTCTTTCTTCCTTTATTATTATTATTATTATTAATTTTCTTTTCCTTTCAAAAAAAATTATTATTATTTTTTATTCTCTTACTGATTAGTGTTGAGCATAATCATTAATGTGCAATTCAACTATAGCTTAAGCAGCTTAATTGAGATGAAGCACATGTTTCAATTTGCAGAACCATGCTAAAGGTCATGGATTCAAGTCTAACTCACACGTTCCATTATGTATAGATTAACAGGTTCATGATTCTATCACAATTATAATATATTAAATAGAGAAAATTTCAATTTTGGTCATCTGACTATAGGGGCTTTGTTAATTTCAGCACTTAGACTTTCAAAAGTATCAATTTAGTACCTTGACTATGCAATTTTTATCAATTTTGGTCATTCTGGTCAAATTGCCGGCAAAATTTCGTCGGAAAATTTTAACAGTTAAAAGATAAATTCGTCGGAAAAGATGAATTCACAGGAGAAAATACCCTCATTATTTTAACTGTTAAAATTTTCCGGCGAAATTTGATCGGCAATTTGACCAGAGTGACCAAAATTGATAAAAATTGCATAGTCAAGGTACTAAATTAACACTTTTGAAAGTTAGGTGCTAAAATTAACAAAGCCCCTGTAGTCATATGACCAAAATTAAAATTTTCTCTATTAAATATTTATCAAATGTCGATTCAAATATTATCTACTCAATTATTGAGTTAAACTCGTGTGGGCAATATCTTGTTAATTCTATTACTATGTGTTGTGTTGTACGGAGTAATTGATTTGTTGTTCCGCGGTTGCCTAATTTTATCATTTTTTTAATAAAAAAAAAATGCTTTTAACAACTCTTTAAAAGTTTTGCTATTTATATATCTGACCCCACAATTTTCCGTCTACTTGGAACCTTGTTCACCTGCAATTGTATCGTTCTTCAATTATTTCCAGAGAATAATTCCCCAGCTTTCTCGTTCTAAATCGCTGGGGCAAATCCTTTCTAAATTCTTTAATTTTTTTTCCCAATAATTAAAACTAAATGCGATAGATTCAAGATGGGGCAGCAGCAATCAAAAGACGAACTGCTATATCAGCAAGTCAATTATGGTAACACCGCAGGCATCAAAACTCTTCGCAATGACGGAGCTGGGCTCGAGGTATAATTGTATAATAATAGGCATCTAGATACATACATGTTTATCTATATGTATGGCTTAATTCTGACTTTCTGGAAATTTTCTTTCATGAATTCATATGAAATTGAATTGTTTTACAAATGGACAATTTGATCAACGAATTTCAGGCTGTGAATTAATTGAAAAATTGAAACATTGTGCATGAAGAATCGTCTTTTATGCATATCATGATCATTACTTCGTATATACTAACATAATTCTTTGAATGCACTAAAGCTACAGTTTTGCTATGTGGCTTAAACTATATCTTTAAACAATTAAGTTATACTGTAACTGAAGAAAGCTAAAGTTTTTGCTATGCTGCTTAATGTTTGAAAATAGTGAGCTGCTATATTTGTTGGATTTATGGGCAATGCTTGTTTGGTTTTCAGTGGATTGATAGGGAAGGGAAAACGCCCCTGATAATGGCTTGCATGAACCCTCAGCTTTTTGACGTTGCAAAGACTTTGATTGAATTAGGTGCCAATGTCAATGCTTACCGTCCTGGTAAGGAACTTTCTGCTTAATCTATTGCAAATATTGACCTTGCAAATCCTGCCATCCTCTATGTCTCCAATGTTCATCTGGAGGCTGTAAAAGAAAAGAAAATTAGGGGAGGTTATGGAATCCTGTTGATATACCTTTCTTATGGGGTTTCACATTACTTACCTAATTGCGTACGGGGGAGTCACAGTGTTATGATGGTATATAAGCCATTTCGGTTCTGTTTCTAAATGGGTCATGATAATATTTTATCCACTACAGTTCTTTGAAATCAATGTAAAATGACATTTGGAAAAGCCAAACTAATTTTGTTATACAGTCACACAACTCTTGATGTTTGGCTATTTGTAGATTATGGTTCAATAGAAGTCTATTTGTTAGTTATTTAATGGTGCTTGTGTCTTGATCTTGAGTACCAGAATGCATGTTACATGCACTTTTGTTAAGTTCATTTCATTCTTATGCCTTTACTCCAACATGCAAAGATCATTCTTCCTCGCTAATCAAAACTAGTTTTTTTTTTTAATAGCATATACTCATCTTTCTTCTTGCATCTTATAGGTCGCCATGCTGGGACTCCTCTACATCATGCTGCAAAAAGAGGGCTTGTAAAGACTGTTTCATTACTTCTTTCTCATGGAGGTGTGCTTAGAAACACTGTTCTGTCAAAATAAATATGTTTCTTCCAAATGTGAAGTCTGATGCAATCATTTTCTTTTCCATTTCCCCTGACAACTTCTAAGTTATCTTTTAGCAAATCCTTTGGCGATGAATGATGACTGTCTAACTCCCTTGGATGTTGCTAGACTCAAAGGGTACACCAATGTTGTTCGGACAATTGAGGTACTTTTGCATCTGATGTTTAGTTTGGAACTTGTGCAATTATAAGACTTATGTGTTACTTTGTTGGTGTAATGTTGCTTAGAGACACATTTGTTTATTCGCTGGTTGGCTGCGGGAGCTTTATGGGCCAGGATTTCTTGAGCTGCTTGCACCACAGTTGCTTTCGAGAAAAGTGTGGGTAAAATCTTTATATGAAATCACCTTTAAATGCTGTAGTTTGTGAAAAATCAGCTGGTGCACTAGAGCTTTTCTAGTTATCCTTACTCGATTTCTTAATTTTAACATCATTATTGTTGTATGTGTGGTGTAAGTACACAGCTTTTGCATCTTCCCAAATTATTTGGTTCATTTTCGTTTCCTTTTAAAAAATTTGTCAGAAATGACCTAAAAGTTTATTCTAACAATTTTGTAGTTGGGTGGTTGTTTTACCTTGTGGTTCTCGAAATCTTACGAAGCCCTTCAAGTTGGAACTTGCTATATATCCAACTCCACGGGTATGTTGATTTGCAATTTGTTATTTCTTGAAAAGATGCGGCTATCCGCATACCATTTTGTGAAATACCATGTAGAGTTACAATTTCCTGTTTGTCTTGGGAACTTTATCATGAGTTGTGTACACTGAAAACTTTCTTGCACTAGAAGTGGCAAGGGATGTATTATAATGGTTTTCGACTAGGGTCCGTTTGGAAACCCGTAAAATGACTTATGGAAAATGTTTTCCGAGTTTTCAGTGTTTGGATGCAGTAGGAAAATCCAGTCAACGGGAAACATTTTCCGTTGACTAGGGAAAATGTAGGCATTTTTGCGGAAAATGACTTACGCCAAAATTTGGCGTAAGTCATTTTCCGCCAACACTCAAAACATGGTTGATTGGTTGCCTTCGCTGCTGTCGTTTCCTTCGATTCCTCAGTTTCCATCCGTTCCTATATTTTCCAGAATGCAACCAAACACTAGAAAGGAAAATGTTTTTCCGGAAAATTAGTCATTTTCCAGAAAACATTTTCCTGCTTTCCAAACGGACCCTAATTTAGGTTTCACTTGGGGTGTTGTGTTTAATTTTTATGATTTAGCGATATAATTTATGGATTCTTGTTTATATGTTATGGCTTGTGTTGTGCCTAACAGGATTATGTTTCACTTTTCCTTTGCCTTTTCTATGATTAGGAAGCTCAACCTCGCACTGTTTTTGCATTATGGAAGGCTAATATGGAAGAACCCAATTTTAATCTGCCCGATCCAACAGTGGTCATATCTGATATTTCCAAGAGTAATTACCTATCATTCCATGTTCAAGTTGATCTTGCTATTACTGAATTTAAATGTAGGTAGATGATTTTCTCATTTCATGCATAGCCCGAAAGCATGGAGCTGAAGGTGGGGTATTATATCCCTCCCTACAGCCGAGGCATTGGTGAACTATAGGACTATTGGGGAGCTAAATCTATTTAGAATGAATTCTAAATTAGATATTTAGATGGAACCCCTAAATGAGGAAGCTCTCGTGGGATTAGTGAAAAAGTATTATAGACATTATGAAGGTTGTGATTTTAGTCATTTCGGGATAATAGATTTTGTAGAACCATATAGGGGCATATTATTATTTATTAGTAAGAATAATTTTTTATTAGTTATATGGTGCTTTACTATGCAATCTAGTATAGAATTGGCTTTTCAAGGTCGTTGGTAGGAAACCCGTAGCCACAATCCTGCTTTCCGACCCTAGCTGGTAAAGGACGTAAATCGGCTTAGGTTGTCCATAGCTGACCGGCTCAAACCAAGAGGGCTGTGATTCGAACTCGTGACCTTATGGTTACAAGTTTGTATCCTTAGCCATCTTGGCTGGGGGTTATCCCCTATTGCTTGATCATTCTTGCTTCTTGTGAACATAGTCACTGCTTTGAGTTTTCACTTAAATTCACGAAAACTTTTGAATCTTATTGGTAGAAACACGGATTAAACTTGCATCTGTTCAAGAAAATGACAAACCACAGCTGCAGTCATTTTGTGAAGCATGCAAAGGAAATCCTCAGGTGAAAATCCCGTCTTCTCTATATGTATTTAGGAGAATAGTACACTATACATCCACATACCGTAATCAAATTTTCTCTTTGCAATGAGCGTCGTTTATAGTTTGGTCTATTCCAGGTCATTCCCCCGCCTTTCATTTTCAATACCCAAGTCCCTGTCATTCCCGCAACCTCCCTAATAGCCTTGGAGGACGAGGAGTTAGCTATGGCAATTAATGCCTCGATTCAGTCTGCTGCGCAGGAAACACCTCCCGAAGTCGCATCCACAAGCGGGATCTACCCCGCGGATGTTACCACCCATGCTGATACATCAGTTCTCGGGGAAATCCAAGAAGCTGGCCAGAGTATCCATCCAGTTCACCACGCCCCGCCTCAAAAACTTGTCGAGAACCCCGAGCCATCATTCATCCCCTCGGCTCCTCCTCTCGATGATGGTCCAGTTCACTACCCATCAATCGACTCTACCCCTGTTGACTTTTCTTCACAAACGGTCGAGGCTGCAGCTGTTAGGACAGACGAGGACAGAGATCGGCCCGGGGCCTCTTCTTGTGTAATATGCTTGGATGCTCCAGTAGAGGGAGCATGCATCCCATGTGGGCATATGGCCGGTTGCATGTCGTGTCTGAACGAAATCAAGGCCAAGAAGTGGGGTTGTCCTGTTTGTCGTGCAAAGATTGATCAAGTGATAAGGCTATACGCTGTCTGATTCTTGAAATATTATATTGATTGGCAAATGGAAAAGCTGTAAATGTTGAGGCTGATTGGAACTCTGGGCATTCTTTTACCTAAAAAAACAAAGTTATATATATGTATAATGCTGGTTGGTCTGAAGACAAGAAAGGTTGTATATTAATGTAGTATATTATATATACCATGTTGAATCCAAATAAAAGGTTTATTATATGATTGTCATTATTCACTGAAACTATAAGGCTCTGTATTTTCTTACTGCCAGATATCTTATGATGCATTGTTCTTATTATCTGAATAATACTGCACATATTCTTAACTGATAAATCTTATTTAGCGTAACACATTTTGATTAGTTGGTTATTAGTATTAAAAAATTTGATAGTTAATTAAATAACTTCAGTCAAGTGCAAATTGTCTCGTCAAGAGTATTTCAAATATTTTTTTATTCTATTTATTGGACCTACACTTTAGTCATTTTACTTGCATGCTTGCATTTAGAAAAGTAATTGAGCGAGTTGTATTCTAATAACCAAAACTTGAAGCTCGAGTTTGCCAATGCTCTAATTTTTTGAATTGAAGTTTAACTTCTAACCAGCATGTGTCTCATATATTTTCAAGGATAGTCTCCCCAAAAAAAATGTTGAAACTATAAGCAATTTATTTATTTGTATCTCTATGGATTTAGTTTTTACTTTTTAAGTAAATTTGATTTTTGTTGTTGTTGTTGTTGTTGTTGTTGAGAACTTACCTTTTTTTTTTTTTTTTGAAAGGAGAATTTGCCTTAATTGTTTGTATAATTTATAAATTATTTTAAAGTTTGGGTTTAAAATATATTTTAAATACATTTTTTTTCACTATATCTTACCATATATATATATATATATATATATATATACATAAAAAGTTTTAAGCTTGGGCCTTAGGGTAGAGTTACACTCATTCACCAATCGTTATATCGTAGACCGGGTCCACAGTGCACTATGAACTCTGGTTCAATACACATAATTTGACTTCATAATGTACATAATTCAAGTTCATAATGCACATAATTTATGTTCATAATACACATACACATAAACATGATATAATGAACATGAATTCGGTGCATTATAAACATGAATTCTGTACATTATGAATATGAATTATGTGTATTATGTTAAGTGTTTAAGTTCATTATATCATGTTTATGTGTAAGTGTATTATGAACATAAATTTTGTATACTATAAATATGAATTCTGTACATTATAAAATCAAATTATATGTATTAGACCAGGGTCCACAGTGGACTGTGGATCCTAATCCACAATATAAATTGCCATCATTCACTCGACCCCATCCCCTTCACATGTATTTGAAAATTGTCATTTGTTCTTTAAAAAATGACACCCAGGTCAATCATTGATATTAATTTTGTGGCTATGATTTATTGATATAAAACCTTATATATTTATTTTTTAAAGAATATTGTCCTCATTGTTAAAAATAAAAAATAGTGCTCGTAAGGCATATGCATTAGTATATTGGATGAGAAATCTTACTGAAAATTTATTTAGTTCTTTATACATAGAAGTATATAATTTAACATTAAGTTAAGGATATAATCGACGAAGTCGGGAATATACATGGATTATAAAAAAATAGTAATAATAATAATTATAACATTGCAATAATTTGACTATTTCATTCTCTCTCCTCGTTGTCACTCAAGCAGCCTATACCCTTTAATTTCTTGCTTATGTTTATCACTTACACATTTTACACATTAAGCTTAACGCATCAAACATACTACTAAAAAAAGCTCACTATAGTTACGGGCTATAAAGGTGTTCCTATAGTTACGGCATGCTCAGAACACCACATGACCTAACAAAAAAATAAGAAGAAAAAAGCTCACTACTTGCTATTGTATTACGAAAGAAAATTTTTAATAACGAAAACGATGAGAACTGAATGAATCTACTATCTATCTACTATACTAATAAGAGCCCAAGAGAGTTAGGCCTATAATGGGAAGAAAAAATGGCGGTCAAGTTTTTCAATCAAATGAATGGCTCAGCTTGATCAGATTTTAATTTTTTTCTTAAGATTTACTAATTTATCCTTAATGAATATGATTATCCGTTAACTTTTTCGTTAAATATTATCTTTTCCGTTAATTTCTGTTAGTTCACCGTTAACTTATTCATTGATCTCAATAAGAAAGGTCTTAAGTTCGAAGTTCGAACCCCATCCCAATCAAAGTTGGCATATTTAGTACTCTATTTTACTTTTATTAAATTAAATAATAATTTAGTAGTTATAACAAAAAATAATACATATGCATTTCGATCTTTAATTTAGAATGATGTATCTACAATGTTTTTATTCAAAAAATTTATTCATTATCAATAAATTAAATAAGAGAAATAATTTCATTAGTTAATTGTCTTTATTTTTCTCCAATATAAATATTCTTTGCATTCAAATTCATCAATTGATTATATTCGCTACATTGTCCCTACAATGTCTTTATTAAAAAAAAAATTCATTATCAATAAATTAATTAAGAGAAATAATTTTATTATATTATATTGTCTTTATTTTTCTCCAATGTAAAAATTCTTTACATTCAAATTCATCAATTGATTATATTCACTACATTGTCTATTATCTTTTTTTGTGCACTATTTTTTTTTAATTAAATATCAAAGTTATAATACAAAATAATGTTATATATTTATTTACCAAGTATTTTATTAATACCATGAAAAAATTAAGAAAAATATAATTAATAAAGCCAATCATATTAACTACTTGAGGAATTTGTTGACAAAGAGAGTATTCAAATCACACAACAAATTGAAGTGAGAACTATCTCGTAATGTCCTTGTTTGACAATCAATAGTTAGCGATTTGCGTTAATGGATTATATTAGCTGATTTGACCAGCGAATTATATCAATGGTGGGTAAAAAGATATTTGAAAAAATTAGTTTTTTAGATTAACATTTAAAATGACCTAAGGGTATACATATATTTAATAATAATAATAATAATAATAATAATAATAATAATAATAATAATAATAATAATAATAATAATAATAATAATAATAATAATTATAATAAGGGTGAATCAACGATTTGGTCCCTCACTTATTTGCGACTTGTCAATGTTGCCCCTGAATATCGTATTCATCGATTTAGTCCTCGAAAATAATTGTTTTTCGTCAAATCAGTCCCTATGGCCGTATTCCGTCAAGTCTCAGGCGAGAGCTCCGATTTGTCCAGGGCATTTTGGTATTTTCACACCTTCTTCTTCATTAACTCCGACCAAGCTTCGCCGGAGAAGTTCAAGCTCGCCGGAGGGAGCTCCATCTCTTCTCTGCTTTTCGAAATTAGCTCATCCCCAATAGTGATTCATCTTTCTTCGACGACATTCCATCGTCGCCGACGTTAGCTTCACCTCCAATTTCCAAGAAGATACGCCGCTCTTCCTCCACTTCTCCGGTTCGGTTCTCGGTTGCGCCGTCGCCGACGAGCCTATTTGATCAGCTAATTATTGATCAGAACAAAACAAGTAGCTAATTATTGGTTCCATGGCTAAACTGCGAAGTAATGACGAAATGAGTTTTTGGGGATGAAAAATTAAATTCAATACTAAGTAATTATAGTGACGAATAAAGAATGATACAAATCATAACTTCTGCATACAGTGAATTGACAGCAATGAATCAGTCCAAAACAAAGTCCAAAGATCTGTATGTATACATGTATATGTATTTCAGTGATTGCACAAAATGGTACGAACCTTGCAGTTATTACAGGATCTCTCTCCGGGCGGCGTATCCGTACTGCGATCGGCGAATATTCTGCTGCCGCTTCTTGTAAACCAGCGCGCCGAGCCCTACGACGCACACGCCGGCGATGCCTGCTTTCTTACCCCTGCTCATTCCACCGCCGGAAGATTCACCAGCCTGTAACTCGCTTGCGTGGCTAACATCGTTTGCATCATCAACATCGGGAGCTGGAGCAGGGGACGGAGACGGAGTAGACTCCTCCGACGGCGCTGATCAAATAGGCTCGTCAGCGACGGCGCAACCGAGAACCGAACCGAAGAAGTGGAGGAAGAGCGGCGTATCTCGGAAATCGGAGGTGAAGCTGACGTCGGAGTTAATGAAGAAGAAAGTGTGAAAATACCAAAATGCCCAGGGCAAATCGGAGCTCTCGCCTGAGACTTGACAGAATACGGCCATAGGGATTGATTTGACGAAAAACAATTATTTTCGGGGACTAAATCGATGAATACGTGATTCAGGGGCAACATTGACAAGTCGCGAATAAGTGAGGGACCAAATCGTTGATTCACCATAATAATAATAATAATAATAATAATAATAATAATAATAATAATAATAATAATAATAATAATAATAATAATAATAATTGTTTTAAAAATAAATAAATAAATAAATAAATAAATATATATATATATATATATATATATATATATATATATATATATATATATATATATATATATATATATATATATATATATATATATATATATATATATATATATATATATATATATATATATATATATATATAAGTAAGCCAATCATATTAACTACTTGGGGGATTTATTTACAAAAAGAGTATTCAAATTACACAACAAATTGAAGTGGAAAACTACCTCGCAATGTCCTTGTTTGACAATCAACAATTAGCTCTTCAATATTAGTATATATTTAAAATTTTATGCCCTAATTTTTATTTGCTCTCCCTTATGTCCCGTATTTGGTTTCAACCATACCTATACAATTATTTTATTGACAATTATAATCAATCTTGACTATATTATCTTGCATTTGTAAACTTAGAATTACCTATTTAAATACGCAAATTCAACATTCAATTATTTATGTATGAACAATTCTAATATAATTCTGTCTTGATATACTTTAAGGTACTTATTAAAAAAAAAAATATTGGGCATTATCCCAATCGCGCAATGCGCGTAAAAAACTAGTTGTATTGAATAAACTTAATTACAAAGATACAGGATACATAAATATATATAGTACGTGTGAGAATCACAGGAAGACTAAGATATGAAGTCATAATCTAACACAAATACATAGAGTCTGAAGTATAATGCAACAAATACTATTCGCTTTTAGCAGGCACAGTGTATTCAAGATTTAGTAAAAAAAAAAAAAAAGGACTTTAAGGTGACAATGATGAA